GCTAATTCTAGCAGCAGATCTCTGCCCTGCCCCCGGCGCCGCTTCCAGGGTGCCTGGCTCTGAACGGAAAAGGTGGACTCTTACCATCAGAAGCGGCCCTGCACAGGCGGAGCACCATGACCCCTTGCCTCTGCGGGACGGCGGGGACGAGGCCACCCCACACAGCCACAGGGACAAGCAGAGTCACGGAGAACAAGGCTCCAACCTGCTGGCCCCACCGAGGGGAGGCTCCAAGAGGACAACCAACTCAGACCTGTTTGGGGTCAAGCAATGGCGGCACTCATCAAAGCAGCCCTTCCTTCCAGGCCTGCTGGATGCGAGGGCGGCCAGAGCACTCCTCAGGCGAGGCTTTGCGCCTCAGCTCCGGTGAGGCCGATGGGATGACCCAGCAAGCCTGCTGTCTCCAAATTATACGGGGCATCTTTCTTTTTTTGGATGTGTTTGCGTTGCTTGTGCCACACTATCTCCACAGCTGTCAGCATCTGGTGCACGCACCACAGCAAGAGGCATGTGGCAAGCAAGTCTTCCTACCAGCTGATGGTACACCAATGACCAGACCTGCCGAAGGAGGCTGTTCCCATTCCACTGTCCTCTCATTACTGTGTAACTAGAAAGTCCTAAGCCATAAGCTCCAGAAGGAATGATCCCTAGAGTTTTGCTCCTCTTCCATAAGCAATCAAAACAGAAACTAAAATGTCACGGGCTTCCTGGAAAGGAACTAAATTATTAATCTGTGAGGTAACTGTACACCCCCTCAGTTGTGACAGTGGGAAACCTTCCATGAAAACCTGTGTGTACAACTGCCCCAGGAGCACAAGGACACCACGACACCTGTGACAGGTATTCCCCCAGCCTTCCACGTTTGCAAAACCAATTCTTTTCTACTGCTCATAAATCCCTCTCCTACTCTAAAGCCCAGTGTGGCACAGAGTTTTTAATTAAATGAAGCAAAAGTAATCTGGCTAAAGAATAACTAAACCACCGTGACCCTTTCCCTCACTTCAGGAAGATGCCACAGTTATCTGATCAGGAATGCTATGTCTGAATGTTTCTGTGCTCCCAGAATTCATTCCTTAAAACCTAACCCCCAGCAGGTGCTGGGTTTGGGGATTCGTGCTC